ATATATACATATACATATATTTTTTTATTTTTTATTTTTTTTAAACTGAACTAATGGAAGCAGAGAGTCGAATGGTGGTTACCAGGGGCTGGGGGTAGAGAAAATGTGGAGACACAGACTCTTTACACTGTGGCCCCTGTGCCCCTGAGAAAATAAGCAGCCATTCCACCTGTTTCCAGGAGACGACAAGGTGCTCCGGCTGTGGCACCCCAACATCAGCACCAAGCCCGTGGGGAAGCTCGTGGGGCACATGTTCAGTATCACCGAGGTCGTCACCAACGAGAAGGACCAGCTCGTCATCAGCCTTTCCTCGGCCAAGGTAACAAACGGGAAACAGCAGAAAGAAAGAAGCTGTTTTGTTTTTGTTTTCTTTAAAATCAACTATTAGGAAATCTAGAATCCAGACAGTTTTTTGCCTAAAAGAGCAGCTGGGCCCAGGCCAGGGAGGAGCCTGCAACCAAGGTACGTGCCCTTGACTGGAATCCAACCAGGGACCCTTTGGTCTGCAGGCTGACTCTATCCACTGAGCCAAACATCACCTCGGTAAGGTGGAGAGTGTTGGTGTTATTGAATCCCTTTCAGAAACAAGGACACTGAGGCTAGAACTGAAATCCTAACCTTCTTTTGCCCCATCCCTTGCTGTTTCCACCAACCACAATTCAGAGAGTAGACACCTAAAGTCAAAACACTGCCAACCGTGAATGTGTCGCAGCCAAGCAATAAGATTGGAAATAATTTGAATAGAGACCAACTTCTTCACACTCCTTGATTCCACCCTTCAGTTCTTCCCTTACTTGCCCGTCATTCTAGGCTCTGAACCTAAATTCATAAATAGTCCAAGATACCTGTTTACTCAATAATACAAACAGCTGATAAGGTTTGACGTCATAGCTATTTTCTTAAAGTGTTTATTAGAACAAAGGAAGTACAAGCTCTGAGTAATATTGGCCTTCAGGGAGTATAGTCCAAGCGCCTTCCCAAGTCACATGACTCAGTCACATGACTCAGGCATCCTTATGGTTTACACACAGAAGGACCAGCCTATATCCCCAATAGTGCAGCTTTTAACTCAATTAACTACATTATGTGTCTCAAATAAGAAGTTCGTATCTTTGTGAATAGAATGCTTATTAAAGCTTTATAAGAAGTTTTATAAAATAATCACTTATTTACTCAACAAAGATTATAATTTAATTTTTTTAAAATATATTTTGTTGCTTTTTTACAGAGAGGAAGGGAGAGGGATAGAGAGTTAGAAACATCGATGAGAGAGAAGCATCGATCAGCTGCCTCCTGCACACTCCCTACTGGGGATGTGCCTGCAATCAAGGTACATGCCCTTGACCAGAATCGAACCTGGGACCCTTCAGTCTCCAGGCCGACGCTCTATCCAGTGAGCCAAACCGGCTAGGGCAGATTATAATTTAATAGTTTAATAATAACTACTATAATTTAAAAATATTTAAGGCTGATGCATGCTAGGAGATAGAATCCTTAATGAAATCACACTTATTTCTGAAATTCAATCACACTGTAAATTGCTAAAAGAAAAAAATAGAAGACGAAAAACTGGAGAAGACAAAAACCATTATTTCAAGTGACAAAGGGTAAACTTTTCCTAGTTTTGCTGAATTAATTCTTTCTAGTCTCCTTTGTCAATCCAAGATGTATTTGAGAAGTTACGTAGTTCTCTTTCCTTCCTCAAAGGCGAGCCCCAATAACCTATTTCCCCACACTTTTACTATATTTACACCATCCTTAAAAACTGCTTTCGCACTAGCTGGTTTGGCTCAGTGAATAGAATGTTGTCCTGTGGACTGAAGAGTCCTGGGTTTGATTCCGGTCAAGGGCACATACCTTGGTTGCCAGCTCCTGACCCTGGTTGGGGGCATGCGGGAGGCAACCAATCCATGTGCCTCTCTCACATCAGTGTTTCTCTCTGTCTCTCCCTTTCCCTTCCACTCTCTCTAAAAATCAATGGGAAAAATATCCTTGGGTGAGGATTAAAAAAAAAAAGAAAGGAAACTGCTTTTTGTAATTCTCACATGCCTGGGCAGGAGAAAGGGGAGCGTCTTAAAACCCTCACTTAGTAAGATGCTCCCATCTTCTTAAGTCATGAAAGAGCAATTTGAAACACTCCACCTAAAATATGTCTTCCCTCTATTCTCGAATCCACACTGTAAAGAAAAGCGTGGCTTCTATAGCGCTGTAAATGATACTCAGTATTTTATTATTTCTCCAAATTCTCAAAGAATAATGGATATTATGTTTTCTCCACCCTTCTGTAATGATGGAAAAATCCAGTTCCTTCAACACGATAAGCGCCCAGCCTGTTTTGTCTTCTGGACGGAAAGTATAGTGTCAGTCACCAGTGACTGACTGGGCGCTTAATGTGTTAAGCAGACTGTTTCCCCCTGAACAGTAGTTGAACCAACAGACAGATGAGAGTTGAGCAAATACTAGTGTGTACTATCCAATAAGTCATACTTTGCAGCTAGTTCTTAGGAGCATATTACAGACTCTGAACGGCTTTGAGTAGGGGAGGCCTGGTGTCACAGAGGTGAGCTGTGGTTTTCATCCCCAGGTGTTCAGGGTGTGGGATATACAGACTCTGTCACTGTTGCAAGTCTTCCATGACAGCCAGGGAGGACCCGGAGACATGCAGATCTACTCCATGATCTATGACGCCAACCACGGCATGCTCATTGCCGGTAAGTGTCCCGACTGATAGCAAACAGAGCTCATATTCCGACTTCTAACCTTTTTTAACTAGTACCCGAGTATAAGCTAGAAGACAAACAAAACTAGAAGGGGAATTTATAAACCTTTATTCATCACAGGAGGTATTTAGTTCAGTTTTATTCCCTCCTGCATTTCCATGGCTGGGTGGATAAACTGTGTAACTGTCCTGCATGGCTGGTGTGGCTCAGTGGTTGAGCATTGACCCATGAACCAAGAGGTCACAGGTTCGATTCCCAGTCAGGGCACATGCCCAGGTTGTGAGCTCAATCCCCAGTAGGGGGCGTGCAGGAGGCAGCCAATCGATGTTTCTTTCTAATTGATGTTTATATGTGTCCCTCTCTCTTCCTCTCTCTCTAAAACCCAATATCGATCTGTATTTTTAAAATGTTAAACTGTCCTCAGAAAATACCTAGAAAGATGTGACAGCGTGGGTTAAGCAGAAACGTGGGGTGTGTAACCTGTTGCTAAGACAAGGTCAGTTTAGCTCTGTTTTGACTCTTGGGAACAGGAATGAGGTCCATTTCATTTATTTATGCTTTCATGGTTAAAGGAAGCACCTCTTCCTCTCTCTCTAAAACTCAATAAAAATCTGTATTTTTAAAATGTTTAACTGTCCTCAGAAAATACCTAGAAAGATGTGGCAGCGTGGGTTAGGCAGAAACGTGGGGTGTGTAACCTGTTGCTAAGACAAGGTCAGTTTAGCTCTGTTTTGACTCTTGGGAACAGGAATGAGGTCCATTTCATTTATTTATGCTTTCATGGTTAAAGGAAGCACTTTTATTATTATTATTATTTTTAAATCCTCAACTTGAGGATTTTTTTTTCATTGATATTTAGAGAGTATGGAAGGGAGAAGGAGAGACAGAGAGAGAAACATCGATGTGAGAAAGACACGTCGATTGGCTGCCTCCCAGATCAGGCCAGCAGCCGAGGCACATGCCCTTGATGGGAATCGAACCTGGGTCCCTTCAGTCCGAGGGCCAGTGCTCTACCCACTGAGCCAAACCGGCGAGGGCAGGAATACAGTCCATTTTAGAGCAGACGCACCACTTTCTTCAGGCGTTTTGGCCCTGGGCATTCTGATAATGAGACAGTACTTACACAGCATTAAGGGTGCTGTCCCTCCTTCCTACCTGCCTTTGCTTCTAGACAAAGTGGAGAGAGAGAGGAGAGGCCCAAGTGACAGATGCCCAGAGCTGATGCCAACAGATTTGGTGCCTTCTTTTCTTGTTGCCTCTTAGAAACACATGCTTACTAAAGAGGCACTCGCAGCTGAGCACTGCTCACACACATACTCTCGGGCTTTGGAGGGAAAATGAACCATATTGACAATACAACTTCCTTCTGGAACACCAACCCGGAATGCATTCCCTAAGCAATTTCCCAGTGACCACCTGCTCTGACTTCCCCTGGGATTCGTTAGGGCGAGGAGCTTCGAGTGTTGTTTGGCTGGCTGGTTACCATATTCCTCCTAGTTCCATCTTGAGGTATTTGGACTGAAAAATATTCATCACAGTCCTTTACCCGTGAGTAGGTTTTCTCTTAAAATTTGAACACCTGAGGAAAGAGTTTAGTAACTCGAAACTCCTGCTGGGATGTTTCGTAACGTTGAGATTTCCTGGGAGAGACTTTAGAAACTCAATGCAAAGGGGAAATCCACACTGGAAAAAAAAAACAAAACAAACAGGAAAGAGGATTTATTTTTGTTTGAGCTATGGATGCTTTGGAGTTCTTATTTATATTCCCAGACGTTATACTCAACCAGGATACATGGTTCATTGATCTTGAGAGTCAAATCATGCTTGCAGATTAGCCTGTTACTCTACAACCAACCCAAACACCCTTAGGAGAAGGAAAGTAAGAATTACCCGCTCTCCATGTACTGCACTATGGTGATTTGGGAAATAATCTTTTTTTTAAAATATATCTTACTGATTTTTTACAGAGAGGAAGGGAGAAATGTAGACATAGAATACATAGACCTGGGAGAGACTTTAGAAACTCAATGCAAAGGGGAAATCCACACTGGAAAAAAAAAACAAAACAAAACAGGAAAGAGGATTTATTTTTGTTTGAGCTATGGATGCTTTGGAGTTCTTATTTATATTCCCAGACGTTATACTCAACCAGGATACATGGTTCATTGATCTTGAGAGTCAAATCATGCTTGCAGATTAGCCTGTTACTCTACAACCAACCCAAACACCCTTAGGAGAAGGAAAGTAAGAATTACCTGCTCTCCATGTACTGCACTATGGTGATTTGAGAAATAATCTTTTTTAAAAAATATATTTTATTGATTTTTCACAGAGAGGAAGGGAGTGAGATAGAGAGTCAGAAACATCGATGAGAGAGAAACATCGATTAGATGCCTACTGCACACTCCCCACTG